ACAAAGGACCCAAACTCATCGTTTTTGATGGCTGCATAATATTCCATGGTGTATATGTGAGGCAGCTTTTTTACACGCTGGTTGTTGAAAGCATGCCTCCATGAAACTAAACCCTCCTTCATTCCATAGTAGGAAGGGAAAATGTACCTCCCAGAGAGGCAAATGTGCTTTCCTAGAGTTAACAAGGAACTTTTTTCAGTAGATGTGGGCTACCTGAGCTACTGCAATAATAAGTGTTACCTCCAACAAGAATCGTGGGCTTTCAGGCATGAACGTGAGGGCCACCACGGAGGAGACACAGGGGAGTGCACAGACGATGACAAACACACGCCAACTGTGAAACTGGTAGGCTGATCCCATGCTGAAGCTCCACCCTGGAAAAGGAAGACAGGGAGAGTGAGGGAGAGATCCTCCCAGACAGCCTCCTGGGAAAGTCACCCAGGGTGCCCGCGCCATGGACTTACTAGTCAAGTCTTACGATCCACAGAGCAGTGAGCTGATCTGGGCATCAGCCATCATGACCAGCTCAACTTTAAGACTCCCAATGACAGAGTTGAGAATAAAGACGCTTAGAACCAAAGGGGTCAAGGTGTAAGTATGGGGGTGCAGGTATGCATGTACCAAACCCCAAAGGCCAACATTAATTTGGGATGCTTTTTCTGAAAGACTACCGTGCTAGTTCTCTTTTGTTTGCTCTTCCAGATTACTCTCCACTCTTTCCCACTCTGCTGTGTGCTAGAGAATGGCCATCTATGGACTGCATCAACTGGCTCCCTTCCCTACTGGCTTGTAGCTAAGTCTCAATAAAGGAAGCAAGGCAAGAGAACAGAGAGTGGAGGAGGGCTGGGCTATTTATTTCCCTTGCTTCTCTTCTCCCTTCCCCCTGAATGGCTGCAAGTCTGGCAGTGCGTGCTCTCATTTCCTGGGCCTTCTCCCACAGCAGACACCGCTCTTGTCAGGGTCTGGCCACCACTCCCTCCTGTTGCTCTTTGAGGCATAGGTGGCTCCAGAGTGCTTTATTATTTCTTATTGCCTTCTCTTAACTCTTCCCACATCTTCGTAGAGAGTCCCTTCATTAAACTCCTTTCCATGGTCACTTTGAGGGTGTCATTGGCTTCCTGCCAGTACCCTGACCAGGACGATTATTAGGAATTGATGGTTGTTGCATGTCTCCTCATACACCTCATGAAAATTTACATTTCTAAATAGAACATTTTACATTTAATATTTAGAAATTTTAGAATATTTTACATTTAATATTTAGAAATTTAGAAATTTCTAAATACATATTTAGAAATTTACATTTCTAAATATAACATTTTAACTTCTATATAAGATTAAGCATATTATATTATAAAATTTTACATTTCTAAATAGAACATTTTAACTTCTATATATTATAAAATTAAGCATAATGGAATGCTTATGTGATAAAATTAAGCACAAACAAATTCTTTTAAGAACTAAAAGAAAGCTAATATTTGAATGAATATAAAATGGTTGAAAGCAAACCATTTTATATTCATTCAAATGAATATAAAATTCATTCAAATGGCTGGTTCTAAATGAGAAATAATGAGGCGTATCAAATCTAAATGAAAACAGAGAGGAGATTTATAAAGGCATAGATGAATCATGTAAGATGAAATTTTAATTTATAGCAATACTGGTATTTATATGCCTTTTTGTGAACAAAAATCAGATAGTAAACACCCTATCTCCAGGAGAGCTGTATAATTACTCTTTACCGGGGAGCCAGGGGAGATTCTGAAGGTGATGTAACTTCCTCAAGGCCAAGAGCTGAAGTTACATATTAGTCTTTCCTGCTAGGATTCGAGGCAGAATCTTACAGCTGCACACAGCTTCATGTGTGTGCATGCCCACTCATTCTTGAATACTGAATTTGTTGATGAATGATGTAAACATCAATGACATGCTATACTAATCTTAGATTAATAGCATCTTTTGGAGAATTTAATATATGAAGATTACATGAATTACCATATTAATTATTTCATAAGCTGTAGGGCGTATGATTGCTATGATGTTTTATGTAGCAGAAGTTTAAAGCTCTCACATATTCAAAATGCAGAAAAAACCCTATGATGGAACAGAGAGAACAGTTTGTTCACTTCACATTTGATCTCAGAGCTTCATATAAAGATCTTTTTTTTTTTTTTGAGATGGAGTCTCACTCTGTCGCCCAGGCTGGAGTGCAATGGCACAGTCTCAGCTCATTGCAACCTCCACCTCCTGGGTTCAAGCAATTCTCTTGCCTCAGCCTCCCCAGTACCAGTAGCGGGGTCTACAGGCATGCACCACCATGCCCAGCTAATTTTTGTATTTTTAGTAGAGATGGGGTTTCACCATGTTGGCCAGACTGGTCTGGAACTCCTGACCTCATGATCCTCCTGCCTCAGCCTCCCAAAGTGCCGGGATTACATGCGTGAGCCACCACACTCAGCCAAGAACTTCTTTTTGAAAGCTCTAAATCTCATTATTTTAAGGTGACTGAAAGAAAAATGAAAGCTTTATGTGGCTGAGTTAAGCAAATGCAATGTTTTAAATTTCAGACCACAGCATATTTTATAATGTACAGGGGGAAACCAGGAAGGCAAGAAAAGGGAAGGTCTCTGGTGCCATTGTTCTTTTTTTTTTTTTTTTGAGATGGAGTCTCATTCTCACTCTATTGCTCAGGCTGGAGTGCAGTGGCATGATCTCGGCTTACTGCTGTAACCTTTGCCTACTGGGTTCAAGTGATTCTGAGAACACAGGTGCCTGCCACCATGCCTGGCTAGTTTTTTTGTATTTTTAGTAGAGACAGGGTTTAACCATGTTGACCAGACTGGTCTCGAACTCCTGATCTCAAGTGATCCACCCACCTCGGCTTCCCAAAGTGCTGGGATTACAGGCATGAGCCACTGTGCCTAGCCTCTGGTGCCCCTGTTCTAATCGATTGTGGAGGAAAAGTTAAATACTAAATTTGAACTCAATTAAACATGGACACAAACAACGGTCATCAAGTCCCAGAACAGGTTGTATGAGCACCCTGAGGCATTCATCCAGCAAAATCCCCTTCCCATTGCAATTTGCTTATATCAATCTGCTTATTATATTAATTTGCTTATTATATTATTTGCCTATTATATCTGGATTGCCATTTATGTGGGATAAAGCTTGCTTCCCCTTAAAGGTATTGTGTGTGTGCCTTTTCTTCTCCTCGTGCATTTCTCACACAAAACATCAATTAGTTCAGAAGGTAAAGTTTTCAAAGGCAAATAGGATGACGTTATTTAACCAAGGAGAAAGTCATTCCAATGGGTAGAGCAGGAAGCTTCTTATGGTAGAATAATATTCCCTCACCCCTAAAGATGTCCTCACCCTAATCTGTGAATATGTTACGTTACATGCAAAGGGGCTTTGCAAGTGTTATTAGGATAAGGGTCTTGAGATAAAGAGATTATCTCGTATTATTATTATTTTTTTTTTTTTTTTTTGGATGGAGTTTCACTCATGTTACCCAGGCTGGAGTGCAATGGCGTGATCTCGGCTCACGGCAACCTCCGCCTCCTGGGTTCAGGCAATTCTCCTGTCTCAGCCTCCTGAGTCGCTGGGATTACAGGCACGCACCACCATGCCCAGCTAATTTTTTGTATTTTTAGTAGAGACGGGGTTTCACCATGTTGACCAGGATGGTCTCGATCTCTTGACCTCGTGATCCACCTGCCTCGGCCTCCCAAAGTGCTGGGATTACAGACTTGAGCCACCGCGCCCGGCCGATTATCTCGTATTATATGGTTAGGCGCCATGTAAGTACAAATGTCCCGAGACGGAAAAGAGGCAGGCCGGGGAGTCAGACTGAGAAAGGGAGACGGGTTGAAGGACGCAGAGGTCAGTTTGGGGGGAGATTTGAAGATGCTTCACTGCTGGCTTTGAAGATGGAGGAGTGGGTGAGAAACTAGGGAATGCACATGGCTGGTGGAAGCTGGAAAAGACAAGGACACATAATCTGCCCTAGGGTCTCCACAAGGAGACACCCATTCACACTTTTGATCTTCAGAACTGTCAGATGATAAATTGGTGTGGTTTAAAGCCGATATGCTCGTAGTGATTTGTTATAGCAGCAGCAGAGACCAATGCCCTTCCTATAGTTACAGCTCTACTGCTGACTTGGGTTATAGAAGTTAGGTTGCAGAACTGTAGCATTCTCTATAAAACTTCAGGCTCCTTGCCTTTTTTAATTTCTACTTTGCCATAACAAGTTTACTTTTTAAAAGGTATATAGACAATAAACAAAGTCAATATTTAATCAGATCTTAACTTCTGTCCTAGGACTGCTCCATTAAGTTCTTAGTCTATGAACACTTTTAGTTCATTTCAGTAATCGTCATCTTCATCAGAGTCTATTACTTTTCTTCTATCGAATTTCACTGTTGTCTTTTCTGTTTGTTGGATTACTTTTTAAAGGATTTCTATTAAACCTTGTTCTGATGCCTTCTTATTTAGCTGTCCATATCTTGCCATCTGTATAAGATAATTCTCTACTGCTTTAGTTTTTTGGGCTTTACAAGTGCTAAGTTACTTCACCTGGCCTGGGCTGACTGACCCAGAACTTGGGCTAAGATGCTGTTTCTCGTCTTTGCTTCCCTGTGCTTTGCTTCCTGTTGGGCCACACTGCCAGGATCTCCTGTTCCTGGTGGGGCCAGTGCTCCTCCGACCCCCACTGTGCTCTCAGCACCGGGAACACAGCGGGTCCTCAAGACCTGTCGGCTGAACTTGGGTCAGAACAACTGAAATCCAGAAAAACTGAATTAGGCCTGGCTGCAACTGCTGGCACCAAAAGCTGAGACTGTGCTTGGTCCAGGCCCGGCAGGAAGAGCCCACTCTGGGCCAGGGGACCCCATATTCCTACTCCCGGGCAGGTCCCTCGCGTGGTGGCCCCCCACCGCCGGCCTCCTGTGTCCCTCACGATGGGGAAAGTGGTGAGGCTGCCTCGGAACCGGACACGAGGTCACCAGGGTAGTGCTGTGCAGGCACCCAGCTTTTGCTCAGACTTCTCCAGAAGCCTCTCCAAGGACGCCAGGCTCCATCTTGACAGCTGGTCTTGGGAACGTTGCTCTTTACTCGTGCTGCTCTGGAATGTCATATCAGCAGGTGGAGAGACTGATTGCAACATGATTCCAGTTGGGCGGTTTTCAGCCTCTCAAGGAATTAAACCATAATCAAAACCCAGAAGAGAACTAACTGATGCAGAGTCTAGCCCTGCTTAGCTTAGAATCATTTCTTCAGAGGTGGAATCTTCCATCCAACAGCTGAAGGTTAGCCTACTTGCTGCTGTTCAACTCCTTCTCTCCCTCATTGCTTTGTGTGTGTG